CCCTTCCTCACCTCATCATTGGCCAAGCCGATCCAGAGTGGAGCCCGCAGGCTGCTGACGGCCTGGGTGAGGAAAGCCTGGCTGTAGGGGTCGGGGATGGTGGCCAGGGTGGCGTTGAGTGTCTCGCAGAGCAGCAGCGCCTCATGCCACCTGAGGGGTTTCTGCAGGATGCGGTAGGTGCTGTTGTGGTAAAAAAGGGTGCCGGTGGGCGAGAGGGGGTACGGTGTCCGTGCGGGGCTCAGGGACGGGTCTGGGGGAGCAAAGAGACACGGTCAGAGGGCACGGAGGACACTCCTGCATCCCAGAGGGTTACCCCCTTGTCCATGCCCCCCAAGCCAGGGTGCCCTGGGCAGTGCTGTGCATGGGGCACGGGCACCTGGGGACATCCCAGTGCAACCAGGAAGGATGGAAAAGCCCCATCCTCAGGGGCGATGAGCAGTGACACCCTGGCGCCATTCCCATCTTGGGGCTGTCTGTCAGGATGCGCATCCCTGTGGGACACACAAAGCCAGGCTACTGTGTACAGGTTCACGGGTGCCCCACAAACTGCTGGGACCAGGGACCCCCTGGCAAGCCAAGCCCAAGTCCCCAAGACCCCCAACGCCCTGAGCTTCCCCCAAGCTGAGACCATCATCCCAAGCTCCCTGGCCCCTGAACAGGGCACAGGGCAGTGGTGGCAGGTGCCCAGCAAGCAGACTGGGGCTGTCCCCGCTGTCCCCCACTACCTATGCTCCGTTGGCAGATGTAGCCGTGCTTCTCCTCCACGCAGCTCCGGTCGTCCCAGCGCCCCGTGAAGTGGGGGGGCGAGCCATGCCACACCACCACGCAGTTGGTCTGCACAGCCAAGCCACAAGGTCAGCAGTGCCCTTAGCATCGTCACCCCACACCATGGACACCTCCACCCCAGGGACCCTCACCCCACAGGGCCAGATCCTGCTCTGACTTTGGAGAGGCATGCTAAACCCTTCCATCCTCGGGTGGGACATGGGCTTGAGACCTTCCCAGGGGATGGGGGATGCTAGGGGGGGATCTCGCTCACCGGCTTGTCGCGAGGGCTGGAGGGGCTGCAGCCTGAGGGCTCACCGGGAAAAAACGTCCCGCAGCGGCTCACCCTCCACCCACTGGAATTCTCTCTGGGCATCGTGGAGGCCAATCCAGAGGTTAAAGGAGATGTTGGGCAGCATGGACGTGATGAAAGCTGCAAGCAATGGGTGAGGCGCTGAGGACCACC